ATGAAGTATATATAGCAACCTATAGTAGTTCGTTTAAAGCGAATTTTTTAACTGGATCTGGTATGTTAAAAAAATTATTGCTGATACTTTGGCTGATTGACAAAATAATTCAACTGTTTTAAACTGTCAGAATAAACTAGATATTTAACTTTTTTGTGTCACTAAAAGTGATTAAAAAATTTCCATAACTTTGTTTAGATCAGATTTCATTGAGTTTAGTGTCATTGAGCCATCTCATAGAGCTTTTTCTAATTATATATAAATTGCTACAAAAAAGGGTTGTCAGGCAAAGTATTATCGTATTACTTATTTGCTGAAATAATGCCCCTCTCTCAAATAATTACCCCCGCCCTATTAATTAACCCCTACTGCCAGGGATCGAAAAAATAATTACCCGTCTTAAAATAGTTATAATTAGCTTGTTTAAAAAACTCAAATAAGTACCCAGGGTAATTATTTTAGCAAATACGGTATTTAAATAATTTTTAAAATTTATTTTAAATATTTTTTATCGTCTTAGATAATTTTAAAAAATTATTGAAATTTATTTATAGGAAAAAGTAAAATAACAATTGAGGATTATGACAAGGTTCTGACTGATATTGGATTTGTTCCTAAGCTGAAATTTCCACCTGCTTCAGTTAAATTTGTTGAAAAATGAAAATGCTGGTTGGAAAATTATAAATTGAATTACTTCCTAATTGTATTCCATATATTTTTAAATTACACAAATAACGAATGCCTTTTATGTAAATATTCCTTTGCTTTATTTTTTTATTAGCTGATAAATTTTGTAAAGTTCGTTATAATTTTTAAATTTATGTTATTTATATTTTAATTTTAAATGGTAAATTCATAAATTATAAAATTGAAAATTCTATAAATTTGATCTTAATTGAGACTTGATTTGAGACAAAAAGTGTTGTGGAAAAATTACGGCATATATCCTGTAATCCGATTGGACAAAGAATGGCTCTTGTCCAGTATATGCGTCCATCGCACCTTTTATACGTCGAATGTAAAGTTTATATGTCCAAACAAATCAAATGAAAGCTCATTCAAAAGGACTTAATGAGTTGAGTCGAATGGTATCAAAATCAACGTGATTGAACAATTAGGTCCTTCTACTATCAATGGTTGCTGGTTTTGTAAGCTGTACCGGCTTTTATGATTGAACTTTCAACGAAAATTCATTTGATTGTAACTTTGTCCAGAATCAATAAAACTATCTAATTTTGGTGTCATTCGATACGACTCGGCGAGCAACTTCAAAATAACATAGTGTTTGTCCTAATCGGATTCTGAAACATGAACTGAATTTCACCAGTAACAAGAATTTATCCTTATTATCCACGGTTTTTGAAATAAAATAGAATTTTATAATTGAACCTAGCGAAAGTTTTATTTAAATCTACGTCCAAAATAACCCTGCGCCATAAAAGTTGGGGTAATGAGATGAGATGTTGGTCTATCCATTATTTTAAAGAGAAAAAGACCAATTTATTATTGACTAGGAAAGGTTTGGGAACGGCTGTTGGAGGGGGGGGGGCAAGATGCGTCGTTTTCCGTTACTAGTATATGTTGTGGTCGAGGGTCATTAGGAGAGAAAAGAAAGTCATAAGAGAAAATCTTTATTTATTTTCATCATTATAGTAAAGAGATAAGCAAAAGTTTAGCCAATGTGAATAGATTTTAGATTTAATGACCTCGAAGAAATGTTTTCGCACAGCTTTGCTAAATATTATTTAAAAAACATCTCCCATGTTTGTTCTACAAAGTCTATTTCTATTATTTTTATTTTATATTTAATAATTAGGGATATGTATTACAATTAGTGTTGCCGTTTTCGAGTCGGGCAGACGTTCAAGTAATTTTTTTCGGGCCGGTCCGACCGAGTTCATTTTCGGGCCAAAATGCGATGCCGACTCAATCTTTCGGAACGGACAGGATCGGGCCGGCAACCCTAATTACAATAGTACATTTAAAACTATCACTCAATAATTCAACAGGTAAGACAAGAAATACTGAGAGGGGGGGGATCGAGGGGTTTTTCGATTTTCAAATTTTTTAAAAATTTGAAACATGCTCTCCAAACATGCTCTCCAGCAACATGCTCTCCATTACCTGCAAATTCTTTTACCTTGTTTTCGATTTACGAAGATTTTTTATTAAAAACAGCTGGGGGGGGGGCATTTTATCTTTTCATATTTTCCTAATTTTTTTGAATTTTAAGAATATTTTTTTCATTTTTATAGTTTAAAAGTATTTTGAACAACAATAAATCTTTTTTTTGGTGCTTCATTTTATTTTCCAATGAACAGCTTAAAGCTAAACAATTAAAATTATAAAAAAATTATTGCTTAAGTAAAAAAATATAAAATCGTTAAAAGATTAATAAACCCATCCAATAATTTCATTTAAATTGAACTCTATTTCCACTTTAAAATTTTTATTTTCTTTTCAATGTTCAATTAATATGTACATATATCTTTTCGAAATTTAGTATGTCTATGCGTTTAACTAATCAACAAACATTCTCAAAATTTCATCAATTTTTCTTCAATACAAAATTTTTAATTAATTTTTTTCTAAATTTTCCTAAAAAGGCCACATTTCTATTTTCTTAAATGTGATTTTTTGAGGTAAAATGTGAACTTATTCCTAAATCTTCTATATACTTATTCCCTAAATGAATGTGAATACAGGGAAATTTTTTAAATTACCGTATTTGCTACCCAGGGTAATTATTGTTTCAACCTCTCGCAGGAGGGGGTAATTAAATGAGAGGGGGTAATTGAGCTTTTTTCAGACAGGCTAATTATAATTTAATTGGGGTAGTTATTTTTTCGATCTCTGGCTTTAGGGGGTAATTAGTAGGGCAGGGATAATTATTTGAGAGAGGAAGATTATTTCATCACTTACGGTATGCAAGGAAGAAATGACTGACCATTTTGTACTTCAAATAAAAATGCGGATAGGGAGGCGGAGGGAATAAGTACCAATCTTCTATAGTTTAAAAAATTTATAATTACTACAAATCAATTATTTGATAAAATTTAATTTTATGATTATTTATTAAACTTTTCCCTATTTTCTTTTTCTCAATCAACTTTTATTCCAAACCATTTTTTAAACATTGCTTTAATATTTAGTATAATAAATTTTGCTTTACATTCCATCACATTTTTTCCCCTATTCTTCCCCAGCAATCAATTTATGTATACCATCTGCAACGAAGTTAGGCCATAGGCCAATCTATAATATATTTTTTTCCTTCTTAAGATGACCAAGTGTCTGTTGTGAGAAAGCGAAGAAAGGATGAATCGTTGTTTCTATCAACGTTAAAAATTCTGCTGCTTTTCTGTCTATATATTTATTTTATAACTGTTCAAACATTAAAAAAATAAATATTTTTTAACTGAATTTGATTTGTTAATAATAGCTCAAAATAGGTAACGAGAATTTTAAAAATAAGTAAAAAGCTATAGCTATTATTTTAAATCCGATCTTAACTTTTGTAATTTTATAATAATTTGAATTTATTTCTTAATTACTGACTAAAATTTAGAAATTAGTAATTATTTTTATTTAAGTTCTTTAATTTGTTTAAATTTTAAAGGTGAATATTTATGTATTTCTAATAATAAATTATTAAATATTTTTCTGAAAATATGCACTTTATATTGGTAATTATTCTTTCAATCTCTCGCTTGAGGGGTTAATTAATTAATAAAGGAGTTAATTAAAATATTCAGAATAGTATTTTGTTAAATATTTACTCGAATTATAAAAAATATAAAATAAAGGCCGAACATATCCCCGAATCCGTTTATCCAATTACTGGCTAGTACATAATTAAATTAATTTTTTCGTCTTTTACAGGCCTTAAATTGAATAAATATTTTTTGGAATTTTGCCTTAATAAATACAATAGTTAATTTAAAATTTTTCAAAACACCTGCAAACAAACATACGAAAACTAATGTTTTTGCCTTCCTTTTTATATTTAAATTTACTTTAATTAAAAAAACATTTTAGAAATTATAAAAAATTAATTTGAATTAAAAAATTTTTCTTTTGGAAATAACAATTACAAATTTATTTATTTTTATTAAAATTCTGATTTTATTATTAATATAAATTCTGTTTATTATAATCAGATAACATCTTTTCTGATTTTATATTTACTATTCTTTCATAATTGTTCTGATTTTATTAATTGTTCTTTTCTTAAGTGTTCTGATTTTATTACAAATAATTTTAATTTCTGATCTTTAATGTTCTAATTCTGTTTTTTCTTTTATTAATTACACATTTATTCTGAATTTTAATTAGGTTATTTTTTTAATTGCAACAAATGCTCGAATAATTACCCTGGGTAATTATTGTTTTGACTACTTGCTGGAGGGGGTAATTATTCGACAGGAGGTACTAAATTTGTGGTATATCCAGGGTGGCCCCTTCCAAAACACTAATATAGGGCGCAGCCACTCAAAAATAGGGCAAAAATAGGGCGAAATCGGCCAAAAATAGGGCAAAAATAGGGCGAAATCGGCCAAAAATAGGGCAAAAATTAGTGTATAGCTTCAAAAGCTTAAACATAATTAAAATTTCAAATAAGGCAAAAATTTTGAGGATTTTGAAAGGCCAAGAAGTCAGAAATCCTTCATTTTTAACATTTTTCTTGCAAAATCCGAAGAATTTTTAAAATTTTAAAAGATGGCAAAAATATGGCAAATGAGAAAATAGGGAAAATCCTCTATAAATTGGATAAAAGGGCCACCCTGGGTATATCTCAATAAATCTAGGAGGAAATTTGAGGGAGGGTAATTATTATTTTTTTCTATTTGAAAGAATTTAAATTAGTTCTGATTTTATTTTAATTATTTTTAATTAAATTTACTATTTTATTTTCATCATTTTAAACTCAATTTTTAGTATTTTTAAATAAAGACTTAAATTTAATTTTATTTATTCCCACATTTTTTTAAATTTTATTTAGATGAAAATTAAGTTATTAAGTTATTTTCTTATTTATTTAATTTCAACTTCATTTCTTCTTAACAGCTTAAATGGATTTGAAGAAGAAGGTGCTTAAATATTTTATTTGCAAATTTTTGCAAAATTTCTTTTTTTTTATTTTTTAGCAGATTTATGTACTGACAGAAGTTGTTTCCCCGCAACAGGAAATTTATTAATAGGTCGAAAACATCAACTTTCTGCCACATCTACTTGTGGTACTTTAATTTTTCAATTTAATTTTTTTAAGAAATAAAATTGGGATTAAATATAATTTTTGATACTTTTAACAAAAAAATATTTTTATTTCTACATAAGGATTAAGAAAAGAAACTCTATAATTCGCCACCCATTCTTGGCTAAAATTTGATACTCCGAAATTTAATACCTAGTTTTGTTATATTTAGGGTTGTCGGTTTCTGGAAACTCTTCGGATATCCGAAACCTAACTGAAGAAGCGAACCGAAAGATTCACGGTTCTTCGGTTCGGTTCAGAACCGAACCCTAGTCATATAATAAATTAAAAATACAAAAAATACGAGACTTGAGGATTGGATTATTTTAATAAAATTCAACTTTTATTAAGTTTCTTTTCATTAGAGTTATCCCAAAATTTCAATTAAATTTATTTAATATTTGCCGAAATATGGCAAAAAATTAGTTTACTATATTCAAATTTAACAAAACTTTAAAAGTTTTCAAAAATAAATTTCCATAGGTCTTCATAGACCTGGGCGTTACTGTATTGTCTCTCATTTGGAAAACCCTGAAAAATGTTTTAAATGTGATTCAAGGCAACCTTGGTCCTATGAACAACCTGGAAATGTAAGCCACCGAATTGAGAATGTAGTTAAAGAAAATTATGGGGACAGAACTCAAAATTGGTGGCAATCAGAGAATGGGGTTCAGGTGTTAATAAAATTATTTTTGAAAAATAATTCCAATTAAAAATTTAAAAGAATGTTTCGATTCGGTTGGATTTGGAGGCAGAATTTCACTTTACTCATTTAATTATGGTTTTTCGTTCATTCCGCCCGGCAGCTATGTTTATTGAACGATCCAAAGATTTTGGAAAAACTTGGTAGAAATAAATAGTTAAAAATTATTTTTAATTTAAAGGTCCACTTATCGTTACTTTGCTTATGATTGTGCTTCTTCTTTTCCTGAGTAAATTATTAATTTATTTAAAAAAATAAATTGAAGTTTTAGTGTAAAAGAGGGCCCACCACGTAATCACAAAGATGTAATTTGCACCAAAAAATACAGCGATGTTGCTCCTTCTACTGGAGGAGAGGTATCGAATATTAATTTGTATTGTATTAAAATTTAAAAAGTCAAATTTATTTTAATTTAAAGTATATACGGTTGAATCTGCGTTACATAGTATAGCATTACTGGGATATATTCCAAACAATATTATACACTATCTTTCGAACTGCCAAAATTTAGTTGTGAGATGGTCGTAATCCCCATGTTTGTAACCCTACTTCATATATAATTCTGTCCTAATTACAAATCTCAAACAAATTTTTCAATAAACTTAGGGAAATTTGTAATAATTTAAACTTCAAAAATCCTTCTTTGGGAGACAAGTATTATTAGCGGCATTCCTCTATATTTTAATTAAAAATATAAATTCTTTAAACTTCCATAAATTTAAATTTTAGTTAGTGTACAAAGTAGTTTCTCCACATATCCGAACAGAAGATCCTTATGCGCCTGATATTGCAGAACTTCTTAAAATTACAAATTTAAGAATTAATTTTACAAGATTACATTCTCTTGGAGATAATTTATTAGATTATAGACCTGAAATTGATGAAAAATATTGGTGAATAATCCAATTTTTGATAAAAATAATTAAATTAAAAAAGGTATGCTGTTTATGAAATAGTTGTAAGAGGATCTTGCTCCTGTTATGGACATGCTCAACGTTGTGTTCCTGTTGGAGATGAGACTATACTTACTGCAAAGTAATCAAAATAATTTTCTAGGATATTTACCTATCGTATTTCTCAAATAATTCCTCTCCCTTGAATAATTCCCCCTACCAGGGATGGGTTGAAATAATAATTCCGCATCCCCAATTACCCTACTGCACGTTCAAATGCCAAAACTCGAATAATTCCTCTCCCTCGAATAATTCCCCATCCCATGGATGGGTTGAAATATTACTTCCCCAGGAGAATTAATCGAGAAAATACGGTAGGTCTGTTAAGTATTTTGTGATTTACTCGGTCGGCTTTATTCAGAATTTTTATTTCAAAAATTATTTTAAATTTTCCATCAAATATTCTATAAATTTAAACACTTCCAACCTTTAAGATTGCCAGATATGGTGCATGGAAAATGTGAATGTACTCATAACACGAAAGGAATGAATTGTGATGACTGCGAAGACTTTTACAACGATTCCCCATGGAGACCAGGCATTGGAGACCAATCGAATGAATGTAAAAGATGTGAATGTAATGATCATGCTACTCGTTGCCATTTTGATTGGGCAGTCTATAATGCTTCTGGATTTTCTTCTGGAGGTGTTTGTGATGATTGTCAACATAACACAATGGGGAAGAATTGCGAGCAATGCAAACCTAATTTTTATCGAGATCCTCAAAGGTAGAAATTTTGAAAAACGGATAAGTTGTGATTTGATATAGGTGAATTTTAGTTAAATGTACATAATAGTGTGGAAATATAGCCAAAATAATATTAAAAGTATAATATATTTTTAGATCCATTCGAGATCCATATGTCTGCAGACCATGCCAATGTGATCGCAGTGGTTCTAAATACGATGGAATTTGTGAGACTGAAGAAGATCCCGAACGTGGACTGGTTGCAGGGAAATGTTATTGCAAAAGCAACGTTGATGGGCCAAAGTAAAGTCTAAAATAATGAGAAATTAAAAAAATTTTTTTCTTAATTATCTAAAGTTGTGATCGTTGTAAAAATGGATTTTGGGAAATGAGAAAAGAAGATCCCGATGGCTGTCGGCCATGTTCTTGCAATCTAATCGGTACTTATGGGAACGAAGGTTGTGACAAAGTGACAGGAAAGTGTACTTGTAAAGCTCTTGTAATGGGAGAACAATGTGATCATTGTCTTCAAGAACATTATGGACTAAGTGTTGATGATCCTAATGGATGCAAGCCTTGGTAGAAAAAATTTTTTAAAATTATTCCTAGATATAATTCTTGTAAAAATATAATTTTTGGATATAAAAATATTTTATAAATTCAATGATATACACTTTAAAAATATTTTTTCAAGTGATTGCGATCCTGGGGGCGCCTATGACAATCACTGCGATAGTGCTGAGGGTATGTGCCGTTGCCGGCCAAATTATAGTGGGAGACGCTGTAATACAACGGAAAGTGGATATTTCTGTCCATTTATTGATAAATATACTTTTGAAGTAATTTTTTAAAAAATATTTTTAAAAATTAAAAATTTAAAAATTAAATAGTTCTGATTTAAGAGATGCTTTTAATAGAAATGATTTTTTTATCAGAACTAAATTAAAATCAAAATTAATTTTGAATAACTAATAAAATATAGAATTTTAAAACTAATGATTTTCTACATAGCAGAATTAGGCAGGACTGCTTTTCACCCCCAAAAAACTGCTCGATCCCCCCTATGATTTTTCGATTTTTGGGGACATCTCAGCCCACAGCTGAGTCCGCGGACTAATTTTGGTGTCATTCGGTCCAGCTCAGCGAGCTCTTTCGAATGACACATAATTGTTTAAATCTGAAAAACGTTGGTTTACTTCAGTTTAGCCCAGAATTAAATAAATTAACGAAAATTAAATCAGAATTTAAAATAATTCAATGAACAAACAAAAATTAAATCAATCAATTAAAATTTTTATAAATCCCTCAATAATTTTTATTTCCTTAAACAGGCTGAATTCAGCATTTTACCATCAAATGCTGAGCAAGTTCCAAGAGAATATTCAGTAGATCGTCCATGGACTTGGACTGGGGAAGGATTTGTTCGAGTCCATGAAAATACAAATCTCAGCTTTTTTGTGGAAGGATTGCAAAAGACTGGGCATTATAATTTTGTTATACGTTATGAATTACTTGACCCTAATGGTTTCTAATAAATAAAAAAATTAAAAAAAATTAAAATTTGATAGATCCTATTGGTTGGGAAGATGTTAGCCTAACAATTGTTCGTCCAGGCGATCCCAGTCCTGATGGAGTTTGTGCAAATATTATTCCATCAGATGATTTTCTAATTGCTCGGTTTTGAATAAATTTAATTAAATATTCAAGTGAAATTATTTTTTAGACTTCCCAGTAGAAGTAAATTCACAGAAATAATGCCTGCCGTCTGTCTAGAAGCTGGTGTTCGCTATGAAATTCGTCTTAATTTTGGCGAAAAACGATCTGGATATCCTGATAGACAGGCACAAGTATTTAATTTACTTATATATTCTTCTGGTTATCTAAGCCTCATTCTGACCGCTTTCTTTTTAGAGGAACTATATTCGGAATAAACTCAATTTAGTTTAAAAATAAAATAATTTTTAGAATTCCCTACAAAAATAACCATAACGTTTCCCTTAATACGTCAGACTGATTAGTTTCATGCCAATTAGAGAGCGAGCTGGATCTGGATCCAGACCTTAATTTTTCCTGGATCCAGAGTCCAGGTTAAGGCATTTTTCAGCGTTCCTTGATTTTCCTTGACTCAAGGTCCTTGATCTGGTCAAGATGCTCATCTAAAATCAAGGATCAAGGTCAAGATTTTTTGAAAATTTCGCTCTCTAATGCTAATAGTTACTCTCCACAATTGAAATTATTAACTAAATAAATTTTTATAAAAATTTATTTATGTAATTTCTAGGCTCTTATTGACTCTCTTGTAATTGCACCTCAAACTGATACTTTAGAATTATTTAGAGGATCAGAAATGAATGAATATAGAAAACAAATTTATGATCGGTAGTTGAATTATTTTTTTGTCAAAAATTTTACTCTAAAGGTTTCAATGCCGTGCTTTATCTCTCTCTGGCACACCAGCCTCTCAAATGCCACTTCCCTGTCTTGACCTTGTTTGCCCAATGAATGGTCCAATTGTTGGGGAAGCTGTTAGTTGTGATTGTGATTTAACTGGGTCTACATCTGGTATTTGTAATGCTAAAGGTGGTCAATGTGAATGTAAACCTAATGTTGTTGGGAGACGGTTCGGATTGGAAAATGGGAAAAATGTATTTTTAATATTCTTTAGTTGTGACCGTTGTGCTGCAGGTACTTATGGATTTGGTCCTTCTGGCTGTACTCCTTGTAATTGTGACTCGGTCGGTGCACTTTCAAATGCATGTGACAAACAATCTGGACAATGTGTGTGCCGTGAGCGAGGCATTACCGGACGTCAATGTGACCAATGCCAACCAGGATTTTGGTATCGAAAATCTTCAACTGAATTAATCACCTTTATTCTCAGGAATTTCCCAGAATGCCGAACATGTCAGTGCAACGGACATGCTTCAATATGTGAGCAACGCACCGGTGCTTGTATGGATTGTCGTAACCTTACTGACGGAGCACATTGTGAGCGTTGTGTGGATGGATATTATGGAGATCCTAGACTGGGTGTTGGCATTCCTTGCAAACCTTGTCCATGTCCTGGTAATTATTCTGTCCCTAGATTCACTCATCTTATTCTTTTATAAAGGAGGCCCCGGCTCTGGATATCAACATGCTGATACTTGTTATATTGCACCACAGAATCAATCAGTTGTCTGTAACTGCAAACATGGCTATATTGGCCAATATTGCGACCAATGTCAGGTCAACTTTTGGGGAAATCCACGAGAAATTGCAGGATCTTGTGAAAAATGTCATTGCCACGATAATATAGATTTTAATGTGAGCAATTTAAAACCCAAGAAATTATTATATTTTGAGCCCAGGTTCCAAATAGCTGTGATCCAATGACTGGGGACTGTCTCAAATGTCTTCACAATACTGGAGGTGATCAATGCCAACACTGTCTTGAGGGATTCTTTGGAGATGCTCGGAGCCGTACTTGTGTCCGTTGTGTTTGCAATCATTTAGGGACTAATTCAAGTGCCGGGTCATGTGACCGTGTTACTGGACAGTGCCCTTGCTTCCCTAATGTTGTTGGGCTTCAATGTGATCAATGCGCACCTTTACATTATGATTTGGCTAGTGGACGAGGTTTGAATACCTAATATTAAGGATCGAACCTTTACAATTTTAAGGTTGTTCCGCATGCAATTGCGACACTAATGGTGTGATCGTTGATTCTAACACACAAGAACCATTTTTAAAATGTAACGATATCGATGGCCAATGCCATTGCAAGCCTGGGCGTGGTGGAAGGACGTGCTCTGATTGTCAAGATTTATACTGGGGTATTTAATATCTTGTAGATTTTAATTAAAACAAATTTCCTTAAGGTGATCCTGTTCATGGTGAATGCCAGCGATGTGAATGTGATCCCTACGGCTCTACAACACTTCAATGCCATAGACAAAACGGAACTTGTATTTGCAAGCCAGGGAGTGGTGGGCCAAAATGTAATGAATGTGCTAGAGGTTATACCGGTCAATGGCCACATTGCCAAGCTTGTGGTGAATGCTTTGACAATTGGGATTCTATTTTACAAGGATTACGAGTTGATTTGGAAAGGCTTGTGGAGAGGGCTTTGAATATTGAAGATACTGGTGAGTAGACGGTAGTTAATGATAATATTATAATAATATTATAAGATAATATTAGTTATCTTGACCGTTTTTAGGTCGACACCTCGCAACCTTTCCTTGTTAGATAATATTACCTTTAATAAGGCTTACCTTCTCATTAAACTGAAAAATTCGAATCGAGAAATATCACCCATTTAATAACAAATTATTTGTTTAATTATCTTACTCTTAAGTAAACCTAAAATTTTGTTAAATGATATTCCGGTACTTTATGGATATGTCACCCCCCTCCTATTTTGCGTCTCAGAGTTTTCCTTATACGTAGAAAATGGTCAGAGATTATTTTCTTCTCCATGCAAATCATTTTTTTTATTCTTCATGTATTTTGCTTTTTTATTTTGCCTTTTCACATATTTTTGAATTTTGTACTTACATTTCACTCAATTCCTTTCCACATTTCACTTATTTTGCTTGAAGAAAAAAAATGATTGGCATGGAGAAGAAAATAATCTCTGACCATTTTCTACGCACAAGGAAAACTCTGAGACTCAAAATAGGAGGGGGGGTGACATATCCATAAAGTACCGATATTCCTTAAATGTTAAGGTATATCTTCCGAATATGATGAAAGTTTTATCCAAATGGAGAAACAAATAGAAGAAGTAAAACGTCAACTTGAAGTTGTTAACATAACAAAGGTTTTGAGAAGAAATTTCTGACTATAGTTAGAATTTTTTAGGAAGATTTGGACAATCTTCGGCAACAAATGCAAACTTTACAAAAACAAATTGATTCAACCAGAGATTTATTAAGTGAAAAAAATCAAAGAGTAACTAAAGTTAGCACTGAAGTTAATTTAATGGAAGAAGATATTCGCGTATTAAATGAAAGTACTAGACAAATAACTCAATTGGCGGATAATTTAACTGCTAAAGCTGAAATTATTAGAAGGGGGGATACAAAGGGAGCTTCAGAAATACTTGAAGAAAGCAGTCGAAGTTCAGCTGATGCAGAAAGGCGTATTGGACAACAATTAGAAATTATTAGCCAATCAGAAACTGATCGCCTAAAAGCTGAGCAATTATTGAATGAACATAAACGGGACTTTGATAGACAATATGATGAAAACAAAGCTAGATTATCTGAAATTAGCCAGACGGTATTTAATTAATTTGGAGATTTTGGGAGGTTTTCGTGGGATATCAAAGGAGTACCTTTTAAATTATAAGCCATTTTCAACGAATTTTCAACTTTAATTTTTGAAATCATTTTTAAAATACACTACCGTATATGCTCAAAAAATTACCCTCTTTAATAATTACTAATTACCCCCTCATTTTCTTACACAAATCTTAAATATATTTAAGAAATTATTGAAATAGTTTATTAATAAATATAAAAAAATAAATCAGTTTCTCCTCGATTTATTGAGATATATGTATTCTAAATTTAGCTCATCCTCTTGAATAATTACCCTCTCCAGTGAGAGGTGAAATAATAATTACTCAGGGTAATTATTCGAGCATATACGTTATAGTTCACCATAGTACTTCTTCCAAATCTATAGTCGCTTTTATCCTTTGTAGATAGCAACTTCTAAGAAAAACAAATTCATAAAAATTTCCCTCCTCTTAGATAACAACAATCGGTTCTTCATTATCCTCACTCAATTTGGAAGTTTGTGGTGCCGAAACAGCCCCTTGTGATCCCATTTGTGGTGGGCCTGGGCCAAAATGTTCTCAATGTGGAGGTGGTAGTTCTTGTCCGGGATCTGTATCTAAAGCTGCACAGGCACAGGAATTTGCAAACGAAGCAAAGGAAAAAGTTCAGGCAAAAAGGAAAGATGCTGAGGAGGTTAAATAAATAAATAATTTAAAAAAATAAATTATATGTAGATATTAAAAAATATACGAGAAATTCTTCCCAAAACACAAGAAGCACGACAACTAACTGAGAAAGCTTTGGATAAGGCAAAACAAGAGGTACTAGTATTTAGTTACTGATTAATCTAGATGAAATACATTTGTAGCAGGGGAGTGCCGAAACACATTTTAAAAAGCGAAACGCGAATTCCTAAGTTAGTACCTCGCTTTCAAATCATTTTCTTAGAATAGAAGTCGAATTTTAGTGGATTTTCGTTTTGGGATTTGGGTGGATTAAGAGGGGCATCAAAGTATTTGGGTAATTTTCGAGGGATATGGAGGATTTGAGTGATGGTGGATTCGTAGCATATAGAGGATCTAGGGGACTATTGTGGGATAAACTTATGAAAAGGTTCTTTCTTCCTTTTTCAGCGCCGCAGGCGAAAGATTTGAGAATTTTTGAAAGGCCAAATTAGCCAAATTCTGGCACACCCCGGATTTGTAGTACATAACTTTTTATACTACACTACATATTCTGATTAATTCAAATTGTTAATCAGAATTATTATTTTAATTTATCAGAATTACATATATTTCCTTTTCTGAGTAAATTCTGTTTTATTCCTTTCCCTTTTTAAACCAGAATTTATATTCTAATCAGAATTAAGATGAATTATTATTCTGATTTAATTTAATTAAAAATTCTTTATAGCTTCAGAATTTTAATAATAATTCTGAAAATATCAGATAAAAATATAAATTAATTTAAATAGGCTGAACGTATCAACACAACACGCAATGATTTATTAAAACAAATTAACGAAACAAAAGAATTTTTGGAAGCAGAAAAGCACCGTCCAGAGGATATTCGTCAAAAAATTAATTTAATTTTAAATACTACAATTCCCTTTAATGAAGAACAAATTAGGGAATTGTCCGAAAATGTTTGTTTTTTATGTTTGAGGGGATTTTTGGACAACTTTATTGTCTTTAATAATTTTTTTGGGGACTAGTGATGCAAAAGTTGCAAAAAAAATTTTTTCTCACGACTCCCACTTCTTTTTCTTTAACCCATCATTACGGGTGTACCATTGGAACCGGTTCCGGACCTTTGCCGGTTTAGGACCTTTTTTTTTGGTTTGAAAATTTCTCATATTTGGGTTTCGGTTAGCTCGTGACATTGCTTAAACCCGTCCAAACAAAATTCTCTTATTAATTTTTAATTAAGAATTTTCCTTTTAGATCTTTCTTAAAAATATTTTCGAAAATTAATAAAATTTTCTAAATAATCCATTAATATTTTTTAATTTTAAATAGATTCGCCAAAAAGTATCAGAAGCCAAAGATACTGATAAAATTTTGAGTGAAACACGTGGAAATAAGACTACAGCTTTAAATCTTCAAAAACGTGCAGAAAGTGCTAGTATGAGGGCTGGAACTATACAAAGTATTTAAAATAAATAAATAATTATTAATGAAAAAATATTTTCAAAAAAATTTCTAAAAATTTAATTATTAAAAAATAATAATTTTTAAATGTTTAGATATAACTATGACTATTAAAGAAGCATTAGAAAATGCAACAATAGCTCAATCAAGTGCTGAGTCTACACTTAATGAAATAAATGAAGCTATTGAAAATGCAAAGTAAAAATAAAAAAAATATTTTTAAATTTAAAATTAAAGGACAAAAATGTCCAAAACTGAAGGTGATTTTAATATAGTAGAAGGACGTGCAAAGGAAGCTTTAGAACGGCTTCAAAAATTACAAAATGTTACGGGTAAATTTTTAAATTTTTCTTTTTTTAGCAATTTTTAAAGTTAAAATTTCTAATCCTAAAAAATAATTTTTTAAATTTAAAATATTTTTTTGGCTTTAAATTTGCCCAAAAATAATTAAAATGTATTTAAAATAAGTTGAAAAATTTGTTCGACCGCGGCAGGATTCGAACCTGCAATCTTCGGTTCCGTAGACCGACGCGTTATCCGTTGCGCCACGCGGCCACTTGAGTGGTTTCTGAAAAAAGTGTTTATATATTTTATTCTTTTAGATCATTTAAAAGCAGAATATATAAAAATAACTTCAACAACAAAAATGGCCTCCCAAAATGCAAATAATGCAAATAAAATAGTTAAAGAAATTGAAGATAAACATAATAATTTAAAAGTATTTGAATTAATTTTTAATAAAATTAAAAAAAATTTAATTTTTAAAGGAAAAATATTCCCAAATAGTTAAATTATTAGAAGAAAAAGAAAATGGAAATGAAGAGAGGAATAAAAGGGCAGAAAATTTGCGTAAAAGATCGACAGAATTACTTTCAAAAATTAAAAGATCTAAAGAAGAAAAGAAATGTAATTCTTATTTTAAATTAAATTTATTTAGAGAATTAAGCAAGAAAAATTTTTTTGGAAATAACCGATATTGATATTAATGCTTAAAATGTTCCAATAATTAAATTTGATAATTGTTTAAATATTTTCATTGTTTGCGAAAAAAACTAGGGGGTAATTATTAGAATTATATGTTAGAGGGTAATTATTTCAGTATTTAAGGTATCTGCTTAGTACTTTTAAGAAGAATAACAGGCTTGAGGATTGTTATAGATTTTGATTGTATCCTGAAAAGTTTTGTAACTCTAGGGCTAGGACCACTCTAGGGTTCATAAAAGTCACTGAAAATTAGAATTCTTTCTGGACTTTTAATTAGCGAACTAACTTGAAGATCGATAGAATTTAGATCCATATCTTGAAGGACTAGAAAACCTGGGAATATGTCGATACCTGAGATTTGTGAATGAATCTCTTCTCAGTTTTGATCTTCTCCTTAACTTGCTTAATTCAAATCTTTTTTAAAATTTCAAAATCAAAAATTTATTTTTCAGCTCTATTACAAAGAAACGACGCATTGGAGGTTGAACTCGAAAATTACAGAAAAACTTTAAGCCAATTAAATACCCAAATTGATGAAGTTTCGGCAGATATTGACAAAAAAATGGAATTTCATCAGAGCTGCGATACTTAAATTTAAAAATAATTGTTTTTAAAATTTTTTGCCTTATAATTAATATATTACTGCCTTTATTTTTGTTTATTAATTACTGCCAAAAGAGCTGTCCAAAATTAAAAAATTGTTAAAAAATAGAAATTTTTGAGGGGGTTTGAGAATATTTAAAAATACACGGTAAATCTTTGTTTTTAAGAATTTTTTTTGAAGTTTCTCAAAGCCTATTTAAAGGATTTTTAGTTATGAAAATTTAACGACGAAGGGAGGAAAAGAGGAAATTTTTAATAAGGATCAAGGAGGCGCCCAAGATTTTATTATAAAGATGATGTTATTTTAAAATTTTAGATACTTCAGTTAATACATATTATTCCTTTCAACTTCGAATCGAAGAAAAATAGTTTTTGTTACAAAATTCCAAGTTTCAGATAAAAATTAGCGATATTATTAGGACTCATAAAATCCGTTCCAAAATGAAATTTTTGGCAGCTATTACTAAATACTACCACCAAAATTAAAAAAATTGCAATAAATATTTCTTTTGGTTATCAAAAAATATTAATTTATTAAAATGTCTGAATAATTTGATGAAATATATTCTTTAGAAACCTATTTATTTCATCGAACTACAAATTTGGTCCCTTTAATTTTCTTATTTAAAATTACCTGGCTGTTTAGCTCGGTTATTTCAATGCTTTTCTTTTTTTTGCATAAAATTTTGTTGTAATTTAAATTAAAATCTATATTTTTACTAAAATTATTGGTAATTTTCATCAATTAGGTGGCTAAAGACATGTATTTCTGTTTTATTGACATCCTTAAATCAAAAAATTTTCGCCCGCGGCGTGCTTAAAGGGAAGAGATCTCGTTTCTTAGCTTTACAAACTTGTCAAAATTTCAGTGGATACTGGGCTTAATTAATTAGGTTTATTACCGCATATTCATCATAACTACAAATTTGGTCCCTGACACGCTTTAATGCAGTTTTAAGATTCCCAATTGTTTTGTATCTTTTCCGCGGGAGCAGGCCAGTGTACCGCAAGTCCAATGTACCGTTGATTTAATTTTTATGCATAGAATTTAAGAGCGTGGGCAAGTACTTCTCACGCACCCTGTACATCGTTAAATTATTTTCACAATTAATTTTCTTGTTTATATTTTTGTTTATAAATTAATTTAAAAAACTATGTACTTTCCCACAATCAATCCTCAAAATCAAAATATTTGTTAATTAAATAAAAGAATAAATTTTATTGTTGCGTGAGAAATTCGGCGTTGGTATAGTTTATGCGTCCAATGTTTATGCGTCCAATGAATCCAATAAAAGTTGGATTTTTCTTGGTGTTGCAAAGTAAGGGTATGGTTCCAAAACATTTCTTCATGTTTGGGATTTGCGCCCACTGGGTCTGGGACCATTCTTTAACCTATCTCTCGGAATTTCTGAAAGTTATAGCCAATTTTTAGAAATTTCAGAAAAACGATTTTAACTTTCAGAAATTTCGAGGGATAGGGTAAGGAATAGTCCCAGACCCAGTTGGCGTAGGTCCTGAACATGAAGAAATGTTTTGGAACCATACCCCTACTTTGTGTAAGGTGATGAGCAGAGTAAAGATAAATTTAAAATTTAATTCCCAGCACGCCCACGCAAATATGTAGCTGTAAAGATTAGTCGCATAAAAGGAAAGGGAGATACCACTGAAAGGACAGTGATGTTATTCATTCAATCAAGCGCCCATTCACTTATTAATCCCTCTGAATATTTAATTCATGCATGAGACGTCTATAAACTAATTATTATTACCGCTGTCTCCGTCACTGTCTCCCTCACTCCGACATTCATATTTCCTACGGCAACACTTAATTATGGAATGACAACAACTACTCAATGCCCTGGCCAGGCACAGAAGAATTATTCCAACAGTCATACAACCCCAACTACTCTGGCAGCGATCCATTCATTTAAGCCTCTGCTCGTCCCCTATGTGCCCGCACTCTTACTTTTGCAATACCAAGAAAAATCCAATAATTTTTTAATTGGACGCATAGTTTCATTGAACGCATTAACTAGACCAGCGCCAGAAATTTTTTGGAAATTTTAAAATTTATTAAATACGAAATAAAAACTTGTAAATTTTTTTGGGATTTTTTATATAAACATCGATATATTTTTTAATTTAACGACTCGATTTATAATTTTTTTCGATCACTTTGTGTGCGTCATATCGAGAATTGAATTCAGATTAATTAACATAATATATTTAAACACCATCCGCCCATCTTTGTACTACTGGCGTAATTACTTCATTTGACTTACAAAATATAAACCTTCTGTAGGGTTTAGTAGTTAATATAG